GTACCACAAAAAAAAAGTGACTATATTCTAGTAAGTAATTATAACTACTCAATAGAACTATAGGATTGTGCCTTACTTTTTGATACTGTTTAAGGGCTGAGTACCTGAAATTGTACTCAATACCTGGTGCAATGACAACAATGTATCCTGAAAAGAAGTTCATTCGGGAGGGAATGGGCCACACCGGTAGGGTAAAATAGGGGCTGAGCCCATTTGATCACGTGCTTAGGGCGGGAAATCTGGCCGTCCGACTGGAGACCTTAACTTCTACGGAATTGTGGGCCAGGAACAGTCCTTCTAGCCCGCTAGCTTAACATCTGAGTGCCGGCATAAAACCACTTACGTCCGGATCCCAGCTCATCTCCAGAAACTTCAGGGGAAGGGGAAATCACACGCAACCACTCCTACTGTTCCCAAGAATCAGGATCTGGTCAAAGTCCCTTTTTTATTAAGGGTTATCAAGCTGTACATGGGCCCCACCCCGGTCTGCTGTGAACTTGGGTAGCACACTCTTCCGCAGTAGACCAGAGCTGGGCGAGGGGTGGGGCAGAGGGTAGAAGCTGAGACCCGGCATGCAACGCGGCAGCTCAAAGCCCAGGTCGAAGCCATGACTCCTCTGTCTTCCTACGGGACAGCAGGATGCGGCCCAGAGCTCTCTCGGTGGGATGCAGACAGTCGAGGTCACACTGTAACCCTGTCTGTCCCATATGTAGGTGATGAGGATATAAGAAGCAATGGGGGCCCAGGAAGGTGTCTCCCAGGGACCCATCCTAAAAGTTGGAGAGGGCAGAAAGATTTCCATCCTGAACCTGCAACTTAGAAACTTTCCTCCTTAGTGTCAAAAGATGGTATGAGGGGAGCTGGGAAGTAGGGCCTCCACCAGAACACAAAGCAAAAGCCAAACAGAAGGGGAACAAGAGAACAGAAGAGGGGCAAGTGGCACACACATGCCAGTGATGTGTAGATGCAGAAAAGAGGTGAGCTGGCTGCAGCGCTGGATGAGAACTGGGGGTGAGGTAAGGGCTACAGCCTGAGCCGCTCATCTGTCCCAGGTGGGGCAGGGGGTAGGCTGCAGGGGTCAAGGGCCTAGGCCTGACCTCCCCACTCCACAGTTGGCAAAGGTTCTCCCTGCTTGGCAGCTTCTGTCATGAGCAGCCCTCTCTGGAGACTTGCAGGGGTGGGTGCGAAGGTGGCAGTACTGGGGCTGGGCTGGGGACCAGTTTCTAGCACCACACTCTGAGCCAAGGGAGTCTTGGGGATAAGGCTGGAGTCTTGTGCAACCCAGGTTCCCAGGCCCCAAATTCTTCTCCTGGGGCTGCCTCAAGCCCACTGTTGGCACCTCCCTAGGCCAGGCACAGACACAAAAACACCACACACGTGGAGCCAGGCAGCACTCCAAGGAGCCTTCCATGGCGGGCAGATGGGATGGCAGGGCAGCAGTAGCCTCCATCCTGGGGCATGAGGACACTCCTCAGTCTTATCTATACCTGTGGGGAGAAAAGTCTCAGTAGTGGTGACAGTCTTCAGCTATCTGATTACCCCACGGGAGCCTAGAGACAAAGGAAAAGGAAGGCTAGATCCTAGGGAGTTCACAAAGGAAAAGCAAGCCCTGCACTTCAGGGCAGTTGAGGGAAGGAAGGGAAGGATATTTTTGAAAGGATAGTGCAGTACCTCTGCATGGGGTGGGGTCATCTACCTTCACACAGGAAGCTGTTACCTCAGCCTACAAGTTACTACTTCTGGCAGCTATTATCAGCCCCTGGAGCCCTTACCTTGTGCACCTGAGGGGGAAGCTCATCCTCTGAGCCCTCCTCAGGCACAGGCTCAGGATGCCTTGATGCTGGCTGCCCATCTTCAGCCCACCCTCCAAGAGGCAGCCGGGAGAAGTGAGAGGGCGCCCGGGGCACTGTGCCAGGATCTAGAGAGACACAAGAATGAGGGGAAGGGTGAGGACTGCTCAGGGGGTTAGTGCCCTTGGACCCCTCCCTGACTTTTTTCCTCTTCTAAAGAACTACCCTTCCCTGCAGCCTGTCTCCTTCAGGACCCCTAGGTGGATACCTGTGATGCCTCCATAGCGCCTCTGGAAACCTCCGTGCAGGGCGGTGGTCTCGGGTGCCCCAGGCCGGGGTACAGCACACGGATAGCTGGCAGAGCGGGGGATAGGTTGGGGGACCCGGTTGCTCTCTCCCCCCTCTTCAGGGGCACTCTCCCCACTCTCGTCACTCTCCCGGCGGTGCCACACATGCCGCTCAGGTTCAGCCTGGGTGTGCTGCTTGTGGAGCTAGAGAAATGGGGGTCTTATTAGTCGAGAAAAGAGGATGTCTGTCTCAACAGTTACCCCCACAGTGGTATCAGCCAGTTCCCACTTTGCCTCTTACCTAGAATCCCTGACCCAGTGCACTTATTGTGGTAGCAGTGTCCAAGAGACGTCGGACGCTCTATGTTTGCACTCAGCAGACTCCTGGAAAGAGCCTGCCCCCATTTTACCCATTCATTTGATTCAAGAACAAATTGACTGCTGGGGATTTAGCTCAGTGGTTCCACCACCTGCCTCGCAAGCACCAAGTCCCAAGATCGATCCCCGGTACAAAAAAAAAAAAAAAAAAATGCTCTCAAGAACAAATTGACCCGGGGCCTAAATGTCAGGCACACTTAACTGCAGGGGAACACAGCAGTGAACAAAACAGACAAAAATGCCAGCACTGTGGGGCTTATACACTGCTGGTGGTAACTGGGGGTGGGTGGGTAATGAACAATTAAATAAAAAGACAAGCTGGGCATGATGGTGCACAACTGTAATCCCACAGTATGGGAGGATGAGGCAGGAGGATTTAAAGTTCAAGTCCAGCCTGGGCAACTTAGCAACTTAGTGAGACCCTGTCTCAGAATAAAAAAGGGGCTAGGGATTTAGCTCAGTGCAAAGGCCCTGGGTTCATTTTCCAGAAGAAGGCAGGGTGGGGGGGAGTGGAGAAAAAAGAGGAAGAGGAGGGAAGGAGGAGGAAGAACAAAGAAGAAGGAGGAGGAGGAACAGGAAAAGGAGAGTGAGAGGGAAAGGGAGAGAAGGAAGCGGAGGCGGGGAGAATAAACGGTGCCAAATGCTGTGGGGGAAAACAGAACAGGGTCAGAGGGTCAGCAAGGGAGACTTACTGAGTGTACTTAGAGAAAGTCTCAGGAAGAGGTAAGAGCAATAGGAAGAGGAGGAGGGAACACTGGGTATCTCAGGTAGTGGATTCTAGGGTGGGGAATGGAAAATATGAAGGCCCTGGATGAGAGTACGCTTGGCATTAAGAGGGCGTATAAGAATGGAGATCACGACGCAGGTTGGCGTATAAGAATGGAGATCACGACGCAGGTTTAAAAAAAAAAAAGTGGGGGGGGGTGGAACCTATGTCTTCTCTACATATAAAACCCTGGATTCCATCTTTCAGCTGCCCACTCACCTGGTGCATATAGAGGGCATGCAGGCTCATCTCAGTGGATGCATATTCCGATAGCACCAGGCTCTGCAGCTGTCCTTCCCACACACTGCTCCCGGAGCTGGCTGTCCTGGCATCCACTCTGTCCCTCCCAGAACAGACAGACAGCAGTTGTCAACACTTCTGAAACCCACACAGGTTGTTGGGGGCTGCTGCCACTCCCTCCCATCTTGGCCTACTTCTACTCACCCAGAGCCTGTCATGGTGCTGGGCGCCCGGCCCGTGGGGGCCTGCCCAGGATGCAGAGGGGAGAAGGAGCGCAGGGCAGAGGCAACTTCAGCCCTGTGCCTGGAGCTCTGCAGGTCTCTGGGCAGTGGGGGGCCCCGGCAGGATGAGCCAGCTACCACATTTGCAATAAGGCTCAGGGGCTATGAGAGAAGGGGGTAGAAGAATTCTCAGGGCAGAGGTGAGGCCTCTGGTCCCCTAGTATTCTGTACCCCAGTACACAGTCTGGGCAGAACCTTTCCATTCTGTGCCCTATCCTTAGTTTCCTGCTCCTGCAGTCTGCCCTGCCCATCCTCTCCAGTCCCCAGAAACATACCTCAGTCTCAGATTGTAAGGACTGGATGGATGTGAAGAGTGCGTTTTCAGGGAGTAGACCCCCTTGGGCAAGGCCAGCAGCTGCTCCATCCCTCTGAACCTGCTCCTTCAGGAAGCCTAGGAAGGCTGTGCTCTCACGTGGTGGCTGCCATCCAGGGTTGGTGATGGCAAAGTGCATGAGTGATAATTCTGTCTTCCCATCCTCAGCTTGCTGGTACACTGAGGCCTCTGTCTGCCCACCAGACAGCCACTGCACAGGCAAAACACAGTAAGATTTCTTACAGGAATCTTTCCTGATAGAGGGGAGGCCTTGCCCCTGGAGCACAGGGACTGCAATGTGCTATTTTGTCTACTTGCTCCCAGTCCCCACCCTGAGTGCCAAGTGCCAGGCCACTTGTTTGTAGTGTGCCTTTCTCAGGGGAGCTTGGCCAACAATGCAAATTAGGGCCAAAATGTAGCCCAGTAGGGCTGCCCAGAAGAGGCAGCCTTTTTGTGACTCGTTGGCTCAGAAGAGAGAGCTTCCTGCAGTTTATCCAAAGACTTTATTTATGTGCCAGCATCATCTCTGGCCACCTTCCCCTGTCCAGTCCCAGTACCTGGGGATGACCATGCTGGCGAACATCCATCTGAGCAAAGGAGCAGGTATCCCCAACACCAACGACCTCCACAGTAAAGTTGCGGAAGAAGTCTATGATCTCCAGGGCTCGTGGACGAAGGCAGAAGATGAGGATAAGGGGTGTGACAATGGGGCTCAGCAACTCTTCTAAGATAAATACCTAAAAGGGAGGGGACCAAGGTCACAAGCAAGCAAGAGGGAGCTCAGCCATGACCACCAAGCTACCAGCCAGTCTCTAGCAGGCCCTAACTCCAACTCCACTCACTGCCTTGTACTGGAAGAGCTGGGCAAACTCGTCCCGGGTCTGCGAGCGGTGGGCATTACCCTGCCAGTGGTCAGGCATGTAGTGGATGTGAGCGAGGATCACACGGAGCAGCTGCTCAGGGCAGAACACCATGTGCTGGTCCGGGATGAAGGACCTAATGGGATCAGAGTCGTGGTGAGATGGAAGCCCTTCTTGCAGAGCTAGTCTGCTTGTTCCCACTTGCCCCACCGGCCCACCTGCACACAGTCACGGTCACCCCCAGAAGTGTGACGGTGGTGAGGACGTGCTCCACAGCCAACACATCTTCATCGTAGATGGTGAGGGCAATAAGCACGGCCAAGATGGAGCCAGCAAAGAAGGCCCCATTCTTGGCCAGCAGCGTCAGCAGAGGGGACAAGAAGCAATTCATGTACTTGGAGGCAGGCTTATAGCCACGGTTGAGACGGGACTGGAGCTCGTGCTCCAGCTCGTTGAAGTGGCGGAGGTAGCAGCGGCCATAAAGTGACCAGCAACGTGCTCCCAGGGCCCCTGGCTCCCGCTTGAGCACCTCAGCATAGCTGAAGAAGGCGTAGAGGATCTGCCAGATGAGGATGAGGGGGCACAGCAGGAAGTTGGCAATGCCAATCCATAAGATACGGTTGCTGAGGCGCTGGGCCAGCTCTAGTCGTTGCCCACCACGTTTATACTCAGCTTTGAGACTCCATTCATTGAGAAACAGAGAGCCAGGTCCCCAGAAGAGGATCAGCTCAAAGTTGTACTTGAGGCCACGGGTGAAGAAGACGACCTCCCCAAGGCCAGGCAGACGGAAGCGCAGAGGCAGGAGAGACTTGTTTACCAGTGCCACCATGTAGTTCTGGAAGCGGAGGATTCGATGATAAATGTCTAGCTCCGTCAGCTCACGCTTGTGGATGCAGATCTGGTGCTCTTTCTGGGTCTGCACAATCCGGGCCTGCACTTCCTGCCATGTGCAATATGGAAGGGCAGACTGCAGAATGGAGTGGGGAAAGAGCAAGGAATGGAAGGTATGGTTATTACATGACCTCCTTGCCCTGCACAGATGAGAGGCTCAGGGTTCATGCGCTTAGATGAGTGGAGCCTTTCAGCAGAAGCTCCTTGACCTCCTGCTAGTTTGGATCTCCAATGTCCCCCAAAGACCCAGGTGTTAATGGCTTGGTCACCGGCTGGTGGAGCTACAGGGAAGTGGTAGTTTGTTTAAGAAGTAGGCCTAGTGGGAGGAAGTCAGATGGACAGGGGCATGCTTTGAAAGGATATATCGGGACTTGGAACCCTGGCCCATTCCTGTCTCTCTTTGTTTTTTGGCTGCTGTGAGATGAACAGGTCCTCTGCTAGGTGCTCCTACCATGATGTATTGCCTCACTACAGGCCCAAAAGCAAATGGGACAACCAACCATGGAGAAAAACCTCTGAAATTGTAAGCCAAAATAGACCTTTTCTCTTTGCAAGCTTATCTTAGATATTTTGTCACAGAAATGGAAAGGTAACTAGCACACAGCCAATGATGGATATCAGCAGGTGATGAATACATCTCATTCTTCCCAAGATGTGCTAACAGCCCTCTTCCAGTCTTACCATGGGGATGCGCAGAGCATGCAGGTAGAAGGAGTGGATCTCCCAATAGCAGCAAATGTTATAGATGAACTTGATAAGCCGGTGGATCCAGAAGACACCAGCGATGACCAGGATGGTGATAAGGGAGCCATTTTCCTGAATCCTGATCGGGGCAAAAGAAGATGTGGGATGGCCCTTAATTTAAAAAGGGCTCTTTAGACGTGCTGCTATGTCAAAGGATTCCTATAGGTTGATCCTCAGTCTGTGTTCTGGGGTATGAGTTACTGCCTCATGTTCCATTGCTTACGTGTTAACAAAACTACAGACTCCAGTGCTCTCTGACTTATAGCCTTACCTGGCAGTACAGACTTGGGCAGGCAAAAAGGCATCTGGCAGAGTGACCTTGACAGGTTCAGTAGGATGCAGACTGTGGTTCACCATCTTGTTGGCAAATAGGATGTCGTAGTCCACACAGCTAACCAGGAAGGTGGTGAAGGCAACCACAAAGAGGAACTGCCTAGGGAGTTAGGAAGAGGGGGTACAGTCAGAGAGGCAAGAGTGAAATAAAGTGGGACAAGCGAAGAACCTGGAAGCAGCCAAACAAAATGGGCAATTGAGGACTGGGGATTTAGCTCAGTGGTGCTGCCACCTGCCTTGCAAGCACAAGGTCCTGAGCACCCCCCCAAGCCCCCCCCAAAAAAGGTTGGGAAATCGAAATGGGTGGAGAACTAAATGGCTCTCTGTGTTGTTCACCTCAAAAGACTATTTCAGGCCCAAATCAGCTCCTAGTTTTTGCTCTTAGCCTCAAACACCACGGTATCAGCTTGTTTTCCTCACTTCATGGTAATCTACCACTCCTACCATCACCACTGGATTTAACTTTAACTCTTAGAGGTTTCATGATTATGGTCTCTGGTTTCCCCTTTTTGATCCTTTTGAGAAGGTAGTCAGAAATTCTTTCAGATAAGAACTCTTTTCTCATTGAGGGAGGGCTTCCCAACTCCTTCCCCCTTGGCAATATCATAAAGCTCCTCCCTCTTAGAAGGCTGCTGCCCAGCAAAAGGCCTAAGGTGCAACCAAAGCAGCACAGAGGCTCTTTCCTCAAGTAAAGAGCTGTCATCTCTCAGAGCGCCTAGCTGGACCATGCACATCGCACTGAAGCTCTGACAAAATGATCAACATGTGAGTTCTCTGCATGGAAGAGAGAGAATTTGGAAACCTCCTCTGTGAGAGGTGAGGCTGTATGTTTTGGTGCTATGCAGAGTCCAGAACTACAGAGGTTTTGCAAGTTTTGAACCTGGGCCTGAGTGCTATGGTCAATGGGGCCAGATATTGGCACAAGGAAAACAAAGACTGAGACGTATTCCTTCACCACATCATCCTTCCCTTTCCTTTCACATACTTACATAAGCTCAAAGATCTCCCCAATGAGCATACATGTGAAGCCATTCTTCTGGTGTAGGTTATAAACGTGGACGTGTTAAGAAAGTGGTTAGGAGTAATTAAAAACACAGACTTTGATGTCACACATTCAAGCTTAAGTCCTGTCTCTGTGACTTTCTAGCATGTGATTTTAAGCAAGTTACTTAACCTCTCTAAGCTTTGGTCCACAGTGGTAAATTGGGAATGGTAATACCGGTTTATCCCCCCAAAAATGCATGCAGAGTATTTAACATAGAACTGACAAAGAATGAGTCAAAAGACATTAATTATCACCACGATTAACATCCCATCAGAAAGGAGTATCATCCTTAGGAATGCTGCTTATAAATCAACACCACAAAAGGCACACAGCACAAAGCTCAGTAAGTGTGGGGTATCATTATTTTTAACAATCATTATTTCACTATCCTCTCAGCCTCAGGATGTTATTTCTCCATCTGGGGAATAGAGTTCAACCTACTCCAGCTTCCCCTCAGAGACGTGGCTCAGAGAGGGGCTAAAAGTCCCAGAATTCCACCACAGGGACAAAGGATATTCGGGAGAAGAAGAGGTCAAGGTTTTCAATGTGGTGCCAAGGTGCTGTGGACAGAGGAACAGAAATGTCAGAGCCCTGAAGAAATAAGAACCCCTATTCCCTCTGTGTCCATCAACTCTCCCCATGCCCCAGCAACTCACACTTGCTTCCCTCTGCCACGTGCACCAATAAGTCCTCCTCCCCAGGGGGTGAATCACTATAGGAGGCCTCTAGTCGCTGGTATTCAGTGTCAAACTGAGCCATCACCGCCTCCCCCTGTCCACCTTGTCCACCTGCCAGTGATGAGGAATAAGAGATACTGGTTTAGATCCAAGGGCTGCTCACTTGCAGCCCTGCCTACTATGCCAGGGGTGAGAAAGGCAGAGCAGAAGTTATTAGCCAAAGAGCGATAAGCTTGGGGGTTAGGGAGCCCTTAACTCTGGTCAGTCATTCCCAGAGCCTTGACTGGACCACAATTTTTTTTTCCCCACCCCGGTACGGGGGATCGAACTCTGGACCTTGCGCTAGGAGGCATGCAGCAGAACCTCAGCCTTCCAGAGCCTTCATTGGGTATTTACTGATGCCTCCCTAGCCTGCAGCCAGAATCTGCCCCTTTGGTGGGTGGGGACTTTTTGCCTTCTATTCAGTGGAAGGAAACTTCCCTCCCTTTCCCTTCCTGGAAACCCTGGTCTCTCCAGAGACTAGCAGTTAGAAAGTATTTTGTAAGCAAAGGTTTAAGACAAGCACATGGCCCTACCAGCTCCATGGACAGTGTCTGCTCCACTCCAGCCCTCCACGACCTGGCTTGACAGCTGCTGGAGGAGAAGGTGTCAGGCCCCAGAGAGTGGGGAGTGGAGATAGAATCCCAACCGTTCTGCCCACCCAAGTACCACAAGGAGGAAGGCAGGGAGGCCACAGGAGAGAAAAGGCACCTTCCCTCCTAAGGCTGTGAGACTCCCTCCTCTGGCTGTACAGGGCCACTCATCCACCTCTAAGATACCAGGGAGTAACTTACTGACCCTGTGGAGACTGAGTCAGTGCAGGCTAGAGAATGGGTGGCCCCTCTGGACTGTCTCCATTGCTCCACTCCTGCTTTAGAAATTAGACATGGCTCTTAGGGTGCACAAAACCTCAGAGTATTTTCTGAAGGGGCTCTTTCTGGTCAACCCCTTGCCCTGGTTTCTTAGCACCAAAAGACCAAATGCACAGGGTCTGCATAGGAAATTCCAAGTCAGTGTAGACCCAGATCCTGGGTGAATCCGTGGGTTCCTCCAATCCCTGGAGCCAGGCAGGGTCAAGGTGCTACTCACCCATACAGACCCTGGGGACCGTGGGTCTTGACCTCACACGTTCCCAGTGGGACTTACTGGGTTAGTGAGAACCCTGTCTCTCAGGGAATTCACCATTCACTGGGTCAGCGTAGACCCAGGGCCAAGGGATCCCAGGCAGGCAGGGCCTTGGCTCATGCGTTCCTGCGGATGTTGGAGAGGTCGATACCCCGGGTGGGGTGGGTCACCTCCCCACACCCAGTCACCGGGACGAGCACAGGGTACCTTAGGGTCGCCCGGCCCCGGCTGAGGAAGGTTCGGCTCCCAACAGCGGTCCACCTCGTGCGCAGCCCCGCCAACCATGCGCGTCCCCGTCCGCGCGCACCCGCTATCAAAACATTCCGACTGCGCGCCCCCGCCCGCCCGAGGCGCCCCTTCCCCAGCTACACGCCGCCTACTCACTTGGTCTCCGTGAGCACCCTGGCTAGGTCCGGCCTGGGCCCGAGATTTCAATACCCAGTCTCGCGTGTCACCTTAGGAACCGCGACCCTGGTGATTCCACACTCCCGGTCTCTTCAGCTCGGCTCCGCCAGATCCCGAGCGCTAGGCCCGGCGTCTGCCACTCACTGTCACCCGCAGCTAGCCTGGCCTATGAACATAGTGGGTGGAGACACGATGGCCAATTCTAGGCCCAGGAGGTGGGACGAAAGGCTCGAGGCGGAGCTTAGACATCAGAAGACCAATCATGTGCTTTGGGTGGGGCGGGGCTTGGGTGCGGGCGACGCTATTTGTCCTCTTCGCGACTCCGTAGTGACGGGATTGTTGTGGTGTTGCCGAAATCTGATTTTGGATTACGCTTGCTTGCCTCTCGGGACGCCGGGAAGTTTGTTGCAGTTTCTGAGGGCAGAAGCGAATCTCTGTGGTTCAGTCGTTGCTGGACCTTATCCCTCGGGTAACGAAGGTCGGTTAGGCAGCATCAGCGATTAACTCAGTGAGTCAACTCTGTGGGACTCGATTTGGAGCTGAATGCTCCCGCGTTCCACTTTTGGGGTCTGAGACCAAGGGTTTGAAAAAATGAAGCGAGGTCACCTATATACGGCAGAACTGACTCCTAGTGGCAGGTTGAGGGCTAACGGATCTTGTAGGTAAGACAGGCAGAAGTGGCAGTAGGATCTCGCTCTGGTGGGCTCTACAGTATTTCTAACTCCCGCTGTGCTCCAGGAGCTGCTTCTAAGTAATTCCGGTTCAGACATGTCGCCGGCTCCAGCTACCCCTCCAGCTCCTGCGTCGGTCTCCCTGTTTGACCTCAGCGCTGAAGCTCCAGTCCTACGAGGCGTGAGCTTGGTGAGCCAGGCTCCCGGGGAGGCTCAGGCCGGGCTTCTGCCTACTTCCTGTCCAGGTATCCGGGAAGATTTGGGGTGGATCCATAAGGAATAGGACTTGGGGGAACGTATTATCCTTCCGGAGAACCCTGTTACTGGTATTTACCAGCTCAGGAACCCAGTTGACTTCTCTTCTGCTGGATGGTTTTTCAAAAAATTCATTTCATCTCTGGGTAGTTTCCAGAATAGGCTCCTGAGTTGTCTCCAAACAAGTCTTTGGCTGTTGCTGTGTTTCATTATGTTAACATCATTTCTTTCAAAAGCACTTAGGATTCCTAGATATATTCCAGATTTAACTGAACTCCACTGAAATCATTCCTTTCTACTGAATATAAAAGTTTATTATTGGTTTTGTAGAACTTTACACTTTTTTTTTTCTTTTGGTACTGGGAATTGAACTCAGGGCCTTCTGCTTGCCAGGCAGGTGCTTCACCACTGAGCTACATCCCCTGCCCAATGGATACTGCTTTCTTACATTTCTCTTTAGATTAATTGGAACTGTAAGTTTTAAAATGACATTTAGGAAGTGGCTTTTATACAATTAAAATAAAGGGCTCAGGGTGTAACTCAGTAATAAAGTGCTTGCCTATAGCCCAGCAGCACTGCAAAAAATATAATGATGAAATAATTTTAGGGCTTACAGGAAAAGGAGCTGAAACTCGGCCTCCTTTAAGGGACCTGGAAGTAGGGTGATGGTTTCGGTAACTGTGTGATGATGTGATTTGAAATTCTCTCTGGACTTGTCTTTATGGGAGCATGTTTTCTCATCCTGGAAGTGGCTGCTGTGTATATACGCAAGTTCACTAATGGGGACAAGGAAAAAAGGGGTTGCCCACTGTCCATATCAGTGGAGTTTGCCGAAAGAGATCTCTGGAATTAATTGTTAACTGTGCCAGAGGGTTTGGTAAAACTGATTAAAGAAGCATTTTCCTGATTAATGAAAAAAGAACTCAATCATTTATTGTTAGAAGGTTCTGTGGTATATTATATAGTGCTTAATGAAATAAAATGGAAAAACTGATTTTGGGACTGGGGATGTAGCTGAGTGGCAGGGCAGTTGCTTAGCATACACAAGACTTTGGGTTCAGTCCCCTGTACTGGAGAAGGAAAAGAGAGGAAAGAAGGAAAAAACTTAACCTAACTGTAACTTATTTTCTACCAGATTCCTCTGAACAATCTCTTTGGCTAATTTAAATATAATAATTTATATTCATTTTAAGTACATCTCTTGGAAGCATATTTATTGTAAAAAGTGATTGCTGTAGACTGTTTATTTCATGGTTACTGGATTTTAAATCCCTTGAAGACAAGGTCATGCTATCTCTCTTAAACTCTCCTCTTCTTTGTATATCAGACACTGAATGTAATTTCAGGCACTATGGACTTGAGCTTTCCGTTTTACCTCCAATTATTCTTTCTTATTTAGGTTCAGGGAAGAAAGCAAGCCCAGAAAGAAAAGTAGTCCAAGGTCCTCTGGATATTTCAGAGAAGTTATTTTGTTCAGCCTGTAACCAGAGCTTCCAGAACCACCAGGAGCAGGTAAATGGCCATTATAACATCTAGGCCATCAGGGGCCAGCTGTTAGAAAAGTATGATGTGAGTAGGGAGAGGTAGACATTGGATTTGCCTTAAGTTAATAAAAATCCATGCTTGCCTAAAGCAGTTGGTGTTACCTGGTCATACTTCCTGGAGTTCTGAGTAGCCTTCACTGCTAGACAAGCCCAGGTTGGGATGTTTCCGTCTTCTGCCTCCCTCTTTGCTTTTGTACCAGAGAGAACATTATAAGCTTGACTGGCATCGCTTTAATCTAAAGCAACATCTCAAAAGCAGGCCTCTCCTGTCTGCCCTGGATTTTGAAAAGCGGAGCTGCACAGGTGATCCTGGTGGGAGCAGGGTGTTGGGCTGAAAGAAGTCCCTATGGAGTTTGAAGAAAGGTCAGAGATGGGGTACCAAATTTGTGTTTCCCACTGTCTTCAGGAGAGCTTTCCAGCATCTCAGGATCAGAAGACTCAGACTCAGCCAGTGAAAAGGATTTACAGACGCTGGGCGAGGAGAGGGCTGAATATGAGAGACCTAACCGACCCCGAGGCTTTTACCCTCATCAAGTTCTTTTCCAGAATGCCCAGGGCCAATTTCTTCATGCCTACCGCTGTGTGCTAGGCCCTCACCAGGCAAGTGATAGCACAGGTTGTGTGGTCAGCTCAGCTTTTTGTACATTTAGACCACGTTTCTCCTTTGCCAATCCCTTTCTCACTGCTTTCCTTCCTCCTTTTGGGTATAGGTATCACACTTGACAACACAGTCTTGGATTGAAACTGGCTAAATCTTGAAAGGGTCAAGTGTAATGGAATTAACTTTGGAAACAGATGATTCTCCGTTTGAATTGTGGTTCTGCGTCTTGATTTTCTACCACTATCTCTTCAAGCCTCAAATTTAGTTCTTTGTAAAATGGAAACAAGGCTTGGTGTGGTTATAATAAATGAGATCATGTATGTGAAGCACTTAGTATGGCACTTGCTTTCTTGCTGTCAATGAGTACAACAGATAGAATGTTTCTACTGTGTCTCTGTCGTACAGGTTCCCCCAGATGAGGCAGAACTGCTGCTACAGCGCCTGCAAAATGGAGGTCCCAGACATTGTGTGGTGCTCATGGCTGCAGCTGGGCACTTTGCTGGTGCCATTTTTCAAGGGTGAGAGGGTGCTGCATGGGGTAAGGATAATGTGGATTCTGTTAGTCGTGGAGCACCTGCTTGTCTCTAGTACTGAGTCTGTGCTGTCTACAGAAGAGAAGTGGTGACACATAAAACCTTTCACCGCTACACTGTCCGGGCCAAGCGGGGTACAGCCCAGGGGCTTCGGGATGCCCAGGGTAGGCCATCACGCTCTGCTGGAGCCAACCTGAGGCGCTACAATGAAGCCACACTATATAAGGTAAGTTAGGCCTCCTAGATGTGGTGGTCATAGTCACTTTTATGCCTCTCAGTTCAACTCATTAAATGTTACCATGGAAAGGTTTGGGATTCATAGCCTCCCAATTTTCGTTATTCCTGGGTAGACAAAGAAATATAGGGATGTCTAGGATGTTTTTCTCTTTTTATGTTATTCTCTACCTCTGACTCCCTGCAAGTGATCTGTGGGCCAGCTTGTGGTTGGAGATTTTAAATAGCAAGTGAAGATATGCAAAGTGGACTTATTTTCTTTTCTAGGATGTTCGTGACCTGCTGACAGGGCCAGGCTGGGCTGAGGCTCTGGAGCAGGCTGAGACAATTCTGCTGCGTGCCCCCCGTTCTGGCCGGTCCTTATTCTTCGGAGGCCGTGGGGCACCCCTGCAAAGGGAAGATCCCCGACTTTGGGATATCCCTTTTGCCACCCGCAGACCCACCTTCCAAGAGCTCCAGCGTGTGCTCCATAAACTGACTACTCTGCATGTCTATGGTGAGCCTCTGAGGCAGGTCCCAAGATTCCCAGCCCTTGGGGTACTCTGCAGCCCAAGCCTTGGTTCTCATGTATGTATCCAGAGGATTTTCTAAGCCCTTGTACTGAAGCCTGATTATAGGTTTTTTTGTTTGTTTGTTTGTTTGTTTGTTTTTGAGACAGAGTCTTGCTGTATAGTTCAGGCTGGCCTTGAACTTGAAGCAGTACTCTTTCAAGGGCTAGGATTACAGATGTGTACCACCATTGCCAGCTTTTTTTTTGAGTTAGGCTCTATCTAGTCCAGGCTGGCCTCAAATTCACAGTGATACAGTGATCCTCCTGCCTCAGCCTCCCTAGTGCTGGAATTACAGGCATGCACCACCATGACCAGCCCTGATGTTTTCATTGAGAGAAACCTGGACTAACTTCTCAGCTAAGTTTGAGAAAGATATTTTCTTTTATGGCAGAAGAAGATTTTTGGGAGACAGTCAGATTGCACTCACCTCAGGCACACAGGAAGACAGTGAGAAAGGAGAGGAAGAAGCCTACTGAGGAAGAAAGAAAAACAGTCCCGAGTGATGAAAATGAGGCGCTTGGACAGAATGGAGAATCACCTAAACAGGGTTTGAGCAACATCTGGCAATTGTCAAATCTATCTGGGTGTCCTAGAAATGCAGTAGCAAATTCTTCTTTTTCATAACTTACCTACCTCCCAGTTGATAGATGGGCCCTCATACCCACCCCATACACTCACATATTTCAGTGTCTATATCGTTGCAATCACTGAGATATGTTTAGTGACTTTTCCAAATCTCCCTTTACCCTTTTGTTCATGGCTATATCTCCAGTACTTAGA